TTGTACAGTTTTTTGTGGCACTGTTTCTCTGCATTAATATTTTGCTGATTGCCATCTTCTTTTTGAAGGAGGCCTTTCGCACCACCATGCGCTACATGTTGTTTGCAGCTTCACTTTTATCTGATTGTCTGTATTTAATCCTCAGTGACCTCCTGCTTATAATGTCGTTCTACCGATATCCTATACACATGTGGCTGTGCCTCATCATCTACATAGGGTCGTCAGTGACCACCTTCTTCACTCCATTCATTCTGACAGCCATGACACTGGAGCGCTACATAGCCATTTGTATGCCACTACGCCATGCAGAGCTCTGCACCACCAGGAGCGCTTTGCACTGCCTCCTCATCATCCAGGGCTGCAGCTCTGTGCCCTCCACCATTTTCCTCTCTGTTTTCTTTTCATCTGTGAAACACTCTCACGTTAGGCAGAGCAGAATCTGTGCTGTAGATAAGTTCATTCTTTACACTTGGCAGGGTCACTTAAGATCTGCCGTCTGTCAGTTTTGCTTCCTGTTAATGTGTGTCATCATCCTGGTCTCTTATGTGAAGATCATGTACGTGGCAAGACTGGCGTCAGCAGAGGACAGAACATCAACATGGCGAGGCCTGAGGACAGTGGTTCTTCATGGCTTTCAGCTGCTGTTGTGTCTTCTCCAGTTCTGGTGTCCATTCATTGAGGCTGCTGTTTTTCAAATTGATTACCGGCTGTATGTCAATGTCAGATACATGAACTACGTCACATTCATTCTTGCGCCCAGATGTCTAAGTCCTCTGATTTATGGCCTCAGGGATGAAACATTTTTTGCTGCCATTAAAAACACTGTTCGTAGTTTGTTTATGAAACCACAATGAGATGTGTCCTAGTTGAAGCTATGTACTGTCTTGCCCATTTGTTTTATGGTTTTATCTTATTCTAAATAGACTAAATAGAGACCTTGGCAGAAGTCTCTAATTTTTTTGGACTTCACTCTGATTTACTGTGAAATTTACAAATTCTATTATGAAAATCTAAATATTTTAATATATCTTTTAATAGACAAGGGATTGTGAAAACTCTGAATGTTAAATCACTTTGGATCAAGAAAGAAGGCTTCTGTAATAATTAGTAATAATAATTAACGTCATTGTTTATTTATCCCCCTAAGTTAATTTTCATTTTGCATCGTTGACCTGATATGAAGAGTTGTAACTTTACACATATCAAATACATTGTTTATTTATGTGAACTGTTTTGTAGACAGTAAGAAAATCTTTGTCTGCATTTTCTTGTGTCTTGTGTCCTGTGTCCATCCCCAGCCTTTGTGAAGATGCCTTGCTGTTCCAGCTTCTTGTCTTGGCCTTCAAATGCATATGTTTAACATCCAATATCAGATATTGCTATTGTTATTTTTTTTTAATTTTCAAATGTCTTCCACATGACAGACACCATTTTTATTTTGTAACTTTGGGATTGTATGGTCTCTGATTCTCTGACTCTGATCATCTGATCATTTTACAAGTGTAATTTAAAATTCAAAATTTTGAAAATAAAATGTTCAGAATACTTTTTGTGTGTGTGTACTCGCGCACGTGTTTGTGTGTGTGTTTTCCAGCCATGTCTATAAAAAAAGTCACCACGCCTTTCTCTTGCAGAGCTCTGGGCTCAGGGGCTTAGCTGCAGGGGTTCAAGGTGTTTGACATCAGCTGGAAGATCATTTCACATCTGTTAGTTGTTGGATCACACAACAACTCTTTAACATAGGAACATGGCAAATCACAGCTCTGCTGCTGAGGGTGGGACTTTGGAGAGGTTGGGTTACCGTGGCGTCATGGTGCAGGTTCTTTTGTTGACTTTTCTCTGCACCAACTTGTTGCTTATTGTTACCCTTTTGTCCAATAGTTGCTTTTACACCAGGACGCGCTACATACTTTTCACTGTCACACTTTTCTCTGACAGTTTAATTTTATTTATAAGCGACATTCTGTTTCTGGTCAATCGCTTCAAGATGCACATAGCCTTGTGTGTTCCAATCTACATTCTGGTGCTTGTTTACATTTTTGTTACGCCCTTGACTCTGACAGCAATGACCTTAGAGTGCTATGTGGCCATTTGCTTGCCACTGCGTCATGGAGAGCTCTGCACCACCCGCAGGACCCTGCACTGCATCCTCATCATCCACGGCCTGAGCCTGTTGCCCGTCACAGTAATTCTCAGTGTTTTCTTCATCTCAGCTCCTCCCATATACTACTCCATTCAAAGAGTCTGCTCCATGGACATGTTTGTCTTTCTCAAATGGCAGGATAATGTTAAGTTGGTTTTATATCAGGTGTATTTTCTTGCAATGGCTGCCACCATCTGTTTCTCCTTCATTAAAATCATGAAGGCAGCCAGAGCTGCTTCAAGAGAAGATAAAAAGTCAGAGAAGAAAGCACTTAGAAGAGTGTCACTGCATGGTTTTCACCTGCTCCTCTGTCTAGTCCAGCTGTGGTGCCCTTTCATAGAAACTGCCGTTCTTCATATCAGTATTACACTGTTTATTGATGTCAGAGTTTCAAATTACATTCTGTTTTATCTTTCTCCAAAGTGTTTGAATCCACTCATTTATGGCCTCTGGGATGAGAAGATTCTCCAAGCTCTGAAAAAGAAATTCCTGTCATGGAGACAAGAAAAAGAATAGGAAACAAAGTCTATAGGAGCTAGACGTTTGCAAAATGTTTAACTTGATCTTTGTTGGAGCACAGTTTGGTTTTATTACAGAAATAAATCTATCAAGGCACAAGTTGTTTTTGCTTTTAAATGAGTCACATCTCCTGAGTCACACTACAGGTTTTTGATTGAACTTACTGCATCATTGCTGGACCATTATTAATGCAAGAAGCCAATTGAGGTTGATCTTTAACAGGGTTTAATCCTCGTGTAATTCTACACCAGAACAGAAGATACCTTCTCTTAAGATAACTTACTCTTTAATATACATTTTATGCAATGTGTTTGTTCCTGTATGTTGCTGGGACAGAAAGACATGTGACTGTAGGTGGATGATTGTGTTTCATGAAGTCAGAATTATAAAATAAAATGATCATATGAGAAAGTGTGTAAAGATAAAAGTACTAACCTTTAACCTTAGTACCTTCTGAAATCTGAACAAAAAACTGCTTGGCAAAGTAAGTCATTCTATCTTATTTATTGTAATTGCTTAATAAAATTGTTTCTAAATACATCGACTGACATTTTCGTGTTTTTCTGTATTGTGCTGGAACAGGAAGACATATAATGACAGGCAGATATACAGTGTGTGTTTCACCATCAAAATACAACTAAAAAAACGTCGCAGTATGTTTGTCATTAATATGTCAAACAACAAACGTGAAGAAATTATATTATAACAAAATATATATGAATACCAGCAGAACTGCTGTTGTCTTGTCTTTTATTGACGACTGAGGTTTGATAGACTCTGATGATGTTGATTCTGTATAAGTTGGTCTAAAGCATATGTGTAAAACTCAAGGCCCCGGGGCCAAATGACCTATGGACTGGTACTGGTCTGCGGCCTGGAGGTTGGGGACCCCTGATCTATACAGTCTTCCATTTACATTTCCTTCAAGGGAAACTGTATCGTTGATGTGGCCCCCGGTGAAAATGAGTTGGACACCGCTGGTCTAAAGACTGTGGTTAAACAATCTGCCGTCTTTACTCGCACTGACTGAAACACCTACGTATATTTTTTACACTAATTTTGACATATATTTACCGATGTTTTGTAATATTTCAGATTATCTTTAACTTTTGATCATTTGTGAAAAATGTTATACTCCCAACTACACTTATTTGAAAGTTATGTTGAGTTTTTTTCCCACATTCATTTTTTTTTCAACAAATAATAAAAACAAATCAGCAGCCACTTCTTTTAGAATCAAACTTGTAGAATCAAATATAATACCTATTTTCTTGATCAACATTTTTTTCTTAATTAAAACTATTTTTGTTTGATTTTAGCCTCATGAAATGGCAGTCATATTTTAACTTTTAGTAATTTTCCCTGTTTTTAATGTATTTTATTCTGTATGATGATTGAGGAGCATTCACAGCTCCAGTCAGAATTGTTGAACAAAACGACAGAAGATGTCACAATACATTTGAATTGTTGAACAAAACGACAGAAGATGCCACAATACATTTTGTGTGCATGTGTGCGTGTGTGCATGTGTGTGCGCGCGTACGTGTTTGTGTGTGTGTTTTCCAGCCATGTCTATAAAAAAAGTCACCACGCCTTTCTCTTGCAGAGCTCTGGGCTCAGGGGCTTAGCTGCAGGGGTTCAAGGTGTTTGACATCAGCTGGAAGATCATTTCACATCTGTTAGTTGTTGGATCACACAACAACTCTTTAACATAGGAACATGGCAAATCACAGCTCTGCTGCTGAGGGTGGGACTTTGGAGAGGTTGGGTTACCGTGGCGTCATGGTGCAGGTTCTTTTGTTGACTTTTCTCTGCACCAACTTGTTGCTTATTGTTACCCTTTTGTCCAATAGTTGCTTTTACACCAGGACGCGCTACATACTTTTCACTGTCACACTTTTCTCTGACAGTTTAATTTTATTTATAAGCGACATTCTGTTTCTGGTCAATCGCTTCAAGATGCACATAGCCTTGTGTGTTCCAATCTACATTCTGGTGCTTGTTTACATTTTTGTTACGCCCTTGACTCTGACAGCAATGACCTTAGAGTGCTATGTGGCCATTTGCTTGCCACTGCGTCATGGAGAGCTCTGCACCACCCGCAGGACCCTGCACTGCATCCTCATCATCCACGGCCTGAGCCTGTTGCCCGTCACAGTAATTCTCAGTGTTTTCTTCATCTCAGCTCCTCCCATATACTACTCCATTCAAAGAGTCTGCTCCATGGACATGTTTGTCTTTCTCAAATGGCAGGATAATGTTAAGTTGGTTTTATATCAGGTGTATTTTCTTGCAATGGCTGCCACCATCTGTTTCTCCTTCATTAAAATCATGAAGGCAGCCAGAGCTGCTTCAAGAGAAGATAAAAAGTCAGAGAAGAAAGCACTTAGAAGAGTGTCACTGCATGGTTTTCACCTGCTCCTCTGTCTAGTCCAGCTGTGGTGCCCTTTCATAGAAACTGCCGTTCTTCATATCAGTATTACACTGTTTATTGATGTCAGAGTTTCAAATTACATTCTGTTTTATCTTTCTCCAAAGTGTTTGAATCCACTCATTTATGGCCTCTGGGATGAGAAGATTCTCCAAGCTCTGAAAAAGAAATTCCTGTCATGGAGACAAGAAAAAGAATAGGAAACAAAGTCTATAGGAGCTAGACGTTTGCAAAATGTTTAACTTGATCTTTGTTGGAGCACAGTTTGGTTTTATTACAGAAATAAATCTATCAAGGCAAAAGTTGTTTTTGCTTTTAAATGAGTCACATCTCCTGAGTCACACTACAGGTTTTTGATTGAACTTACTGCATCATTGCTGGACCATTATTAATGCAAGAAGCCAATTGAGGTTGATCTTTAACAGGGTTTAATCCTCGTGTAATTCTATACCAGAACAGAAGATACCTTCACCATAAAAATGAAAGTTAAATGAAATCTAGATAAATCTGTTTACAATAAAAAAATGTACGGTATTTCAAGATATTTTAGAATGGGATAAGCTTCTTTTGCACTGCATCATCTGTAGTATAATAACACTCTATTGTACTTGACTTTGATAATCTGTCATCTGCCAGTTACAATGACCACTATAAACAAAATCAGATAAATAATAATTTATTTTTTCACTATCATAATTTTACAACTGAACAGTCACAATCATTTTTTTGGCTTTACAACACGTTCCTAAAATAGATTTTTTTAAATGTACGATTACATTCTTCAGTAATGAAATAAATACAGCTCCACAGTTTGTGTTAGTAAGTTGCTGTGGTAGTAGTGGTAGTAACCAATCATAACATTATTACTCTAATTCAGTTTAGGTTTTTATTATTATTCTTCTTATTTTAGTCCTCCCTCAGATAAGCTTCGTGCACTTCGTGCTCCTCACTAGAGAAGGCAGCATATTCAGCCATTCTCTGGATCTCCTCCACTTTGGTCTCAGCCAGCTTCCTGTTGACATCTGTTGAGAGTTTCTGGGCCTCCTCCACTTGGGCCTGGGCCACCTGAATGTTTGTTCTTAGTGTGATGGATGCCTGTTCGGCTCCTGCAGACACAGATACAATCATGAGTTTTGTGCAGTTGAGTAAAAGTAAAGTAAAAAAAAAGGACAATTTACAAGGAATAAGAGTTGTTTGTGGGTGCAAGGTAGGACACATACTCTACGTGTGGTTATATTTCCATTTCTCTATGTATTTAAATCCCAGTACTAGACTGAGTACCAGCTGTGCCTTACAGATTAGCCACCCATGCTCCCCGATGGTGTACAAATGCTCACCTGAGGTAATTGCCACCTCTGTTGCTACCTTGCACATGTTCAGGGCACTGATCCAGGACGACTCCAAATGCTTACATTCATCCAGTCTGTCACTGATCTGACAAAATAAAGCAAGCACTAAATGTAGTGGTGTAATTAAAGAATTTGAGTGAATTGTTATGGTCAACACAAACTAACCTCTGTACGCAGACTGTTGATGGCCTGCTGGAGTGAATCCTGTTCAGCAAGGCTCAGTTTTCCCAGTGACACTAAGTACTGCCTTTGTAGAGCGATGCGGGTGTGAACAGTCTGTTAACACACAGATGTGAACAGTTGTTATACAACATATACCAGTTCTACTTGGATTGACATATATTAGCACCAGCAGCTTTCTTCAGCAGAACAGAGCTAATCGCTGTTAAGCTAGCCTTCATATTAGCCACTCAGAACAGGACAAGAAGAAAAACAAAACTAGTATTGTGTATGTTTCTTGAAATTACTAAGAGACAGTTGTACTCCAACCGCAGGTTACATTCTTATCGTGTCCTGAATGTTAGCAATCGTTTTTCAAGCTATTTTGAAATGCTTATTATTATTTATATCTAGTCCAAGTCAAACTTTTCCTGGACTAACTTCAGTTATGTTCTTGTTCTTATCCTTACTACCTCTACCTACCAGACTAAGTTGTGGTTTTACAGATTGTTAAAACATAGTTATTTCTGGCCATATTTGGAGTTATGCTTTATTTCTATTTCTATGTTAAACCATTTCCATTTGAACACATGCTACTGTATATTAGCATGTGCTGTAGCCTAGCCAAGGTTAGCTATTTTCAACTGACATTTACTCCACTGAGTTTTGTTGTTTCTAATCAATAATTCAATTTGATGTGTATTTTATAAGCTGTAAAAAATGTTTCTGAACATTTTATTGTAAATTCAGTAAGTTTGGGAATTTGGGGTGTTTTTTAATTATATTTTAGTAAACCATATTTACAGTGCTATTTTATCAATGTCTGTTGTTTTTAGGTGACTTTGAACATTTAGCAATAGTAAAGATAACAGTCTCATCTACGTTCATTACCTTTGAGTAGTCTGTCAGAGCATCTACAAGAGCCAGTGAAGTCTGGGAGAGAAGCGTACTGGAACTGTCTGTGACCACCGAGGCTGCTCTTTTGATCAAAGAGTTGTGAGACAGGTTTTCCACCTGCTAGGAACAAAGATTAAACTCAGTTTTACCCAAACTGGAAGGGAAAGATAAAGAACATGTGTGTTCTGGATTACAGTTTAGTAATTCTTAAACATCATATACCCGACAAGAATTTCACACCTGAGTAAACGGAACAGCATGAAGTCCGTGGGCAACACCAAAGGACGCCTTGCTCGTGTCTTCTCGAGATGTCGTGCTGCGAAACGGGAAATACTCCACAATGCTGCAGATCAAAAAGGTTCAAGTGAATCAGTGTAGTTTCAGCCGTGGTGTAATGGCTTTTTAGTTTACTGGTGGAAGGTGTTAAATTCTGAGAGTGTAGCAACTGACCTTGGGTTGTGGATTCTGGCTGCTCCCCTCCTGTGGAAGCTCTTGCTGGCTCTCAGCACAGAGACATCTGAATGATGCTGCAGAAATCCTCCAACTGCACGGCCGGCACACACCGAGCACTGACGAATGGCTTGCATTGTGTAAAAATAAAAAGTCAAGGTTGCTGTCTGCAGCTTTTAATGTCTGGTCTAACAGTCTCACAGTTTAGTCTACTCTCTGCTGGTTTTCCTGTCAAACCGTCTGTGGTGCAGGGTATTTGTAAGGTCTGAGCCCCACTTAATTGCGTAAAAAATATTGATCTGTTGACTCTGTCTGCAAATGTGCGTATTAGGTCTTATCTGCAAATGTTCACAGAGACACGATACGTGCAGGTTCAAGCCTGATTTTTGTTTCAACATCCCATGTTTCAGGACAAAAAACACTGATTATTATGTATAATGTGTTTCATTTAACATTTATGCGTTTATCAGACGCTTTTATCCAAAATGAGGCATGGGAGAAGGAATTAAAAATCAAGCTACATTGAGAAACTCCTGAAATGAGACTGCTATTTGGTAAAGTGGGACTTCTTAGCAAGGGTGGAGATAAGTTCAGGAGAAGGGAAGTACAGGGAAGTGCTAAGGCAGGAGGTACTCTCCGAATAGTTGGGTCTTCAAGAGCTTTTTGAAAACAGCCAGGGATGCCCCTGTTCTGGTGGTGCCCCTTCCACCGGCGAGGAACGGTCTGTGAGAAGAGCCTGGATTGTCTTTCACGACCTGTGTGTTGTTAGTGTCCCTCACCTCGTTCCCTCTGTGATATCCTGGGTTATGCAATTCTTTTCATATTATTATTTTGTGTCACCCTGCCTAGTTCATGACCATTGATTTAGTTTGGTAAATCCAGTAGGATGCAGTTTGTCAAACTGTTCACCTGAGTTTGACCCTGTTGCTTTTGAACCCTACCATTGTGCCTAACTGTGGTAAATGGCCCTCACTTATATGCAGAATGGGGCAATCGTCCGCCCCTTCACCTCTCCATGCTGGGTGCCCTTTAGATTGTGGGGCATTAGAAGCCAGTCCTGGTAGTGAGTCGGAGGTGGCAAGGACAGAGTCCATGCAGCATAGAGACAGACTTTCAAAGTAAGTCACAGTCAGTTTACAGTGTCTAATAAACCTAATTCTGTGTTTCCATGTTTTGTGATTGTGGAAGGAAACTACTGTGTCTGGAGAAAACCCATTTAGCCTTCATACTGTAACGAGGGTTGTTGCAGAAAGGGGGGATTGAGGTTTGGTGAAACACACCCTATTCAAAGGGGGGCTGAATGTAAAGTCACAAGGTTGGAGGTGAGAATGGGGGGTGGGACCATAGCTATGGACTAATAGTTTCACCTGAGCGACACTTTTGGCTGAGTGTCCTTTGAAATGAAACTGTGCTCTTGTTTTTAGGGAGAGGGTTGAATTTTTTGGGGAGAGAACTCAGGACGACGTTATAGGTGGATGAAAGGTTGTGTCTCAAACTACCTCCTCTATCTTTTATGTGAAAGTTGGCCTCTATCCTTCCAGTCCAATATAAAACTAAAATTTTGCCTGAAGTGATTTTCAAACATCGGCTCCCGGAGGTCTGAAATGGTTGCAATATGCAGGCTGCATCAAATAATAAGTTAGTACCTATTTAGGACATAGCTGGTTCTTTATCTCGGTCTTACTTGGGTCAGGTAATTTAGAAGGGCCTCTGGTATCTAGAATGGGGTTGTCTAATCTCAAAGTGTCCTCTCTTCTGTCCATGTTTTTCTGTGTCTGGGCCCCAATGTTTAGGGATATAGACATAAAGAGTTATGGCTTATGGTTTACACGAGTATCAGCAAAATGTTCCAGGAACAAAGAGCTTTGGTAACTCTATGTGGAATACTTGTTTTTGCTCAGCCTCATAGAGCTGCTGGCTGATGTCTTCTTTTTGGCACTTTCATTATTACAAATCTGATTTAACATTCACTTTATCTTTATTGTATATCATACTGTACCCAATCCACAGCGGCCAATAAAAATCTCCAACAGCACTGGTTCTGTAGGATAGCCTAAAAAATACCATATTTACAGAAGTGACATCAGCTGGGCTGAGCGTGCGCAAACTTTGTTTTCGACACACTTTGGTCCAATCCCCTGCGACTGTTTTTACTGACGCAAGACCTGCGTAAAAATGCCCTGACGAGCCCCCTGCTGCCTCCTCTCTGCAAAGTCAATTTGTTTGCTAAACAAATGAAAACTTCAGGTTGCACAATAATACCCAGGAGCTTGACGTTAATAATCAGCTAGTCTGTTAATTAGTAAACAGAGGGATATGTACGGCACTGGTGGACTAATTGTGCTCTGGAGAAATGACTTAACTCTCTGACAGCCCCAATCCTGTACACCTGAGACGTTCTAATACACACACACACACACACACACACACACACTTTCTACTAAACTATCAACAACTGGTAATAGACTCGGTAATGTTGTGGACACTCCCAGTCATAAAAACTTTGCAGTTAAAACTTTAGCTACACTTCTATCATAAACTGCATTGACTTTATGTGACAGTTTTGAGCTACATTACACTCCCAGGACCGAGGAAAAAATTAAAAAGAAACAAAAAAGGAACTTGTACATGCTTTGAATTGATCTATTGATTGTTAACAATATTAAAGATCCCTCCATGGGAAAAGCCATAGGTCTTATAAGCACAGTGTTTTCACATTGTTTCTACATGACAACCTAGGAGTAAAGTGTCCCTTTAACACAGAACAATTTGCTTCAGAATACATAGCTGTCCAGTTGGACTTTATAGACAGTGACTTTTTTACATATAAGGCAGATCAGCTCACCTAATCCTCCAATTTGGCCCACAACTGCATCCTGAAATAAACATTAAACGATGTTGTTAGACAAAAATGTGATTTTTATTTAATCTTATTTGAGTTTCAGGCCCAAAGGTGACTTATCCAGAAAAACTCTGGCCCTCTGACAAATATAGTTAGTGACCCTTGATCTAAGGCAGTGGTTCTCAAACCTTTATACCACCATGATGATCAACATTAGAATATAGCAGTGAGGCCTTCACTGTTAGTCTCCACCACAGGAGACAGGTTTATAAGGTGTTTATGTTTAAATGTTGTATTAATTGTGCATGGTATGTTTCAGATGTATTCAATTGAAAACGTAAATGTGAAAATGTGAATTTCCCCCCACGTACTACTAGAGGGCATTCATGTACCACTGGTGGTACGCTTACCACAGTTTGAGAACCACTGATCTAAGGTATTGACTAAAGATCTAATCTCTAATCCAGACAGACCATCACAGATTAGAAAACAAAGCCTGGTCTCCTTATTCTTAAGGACTGTCTTGTACTGCAAGTCAGAATTTGAGGAAAATCTTGGATCTACTCAGTGTCAACAGGCCAGTAGTGGTGGGGGCCCATTGTAAGAGAGTTACATGCAACATGTCTCAGGACGCAGGTCTGAAGTGGCCTGAAACTCCCCTAATCTGGCATAAGATGTCAATAGGCTCAGTAACATTCTTCTTTTCATGGCTCGGTCAGTTACCTGGCTGGTAAGGACTGGCTGGATTATTACCTCTGACCTCTTCTATATGACTGTGACAGTAAGTAGTGTCAGCGTTTGGTCCTAAAGTGCTGCCACTCCAGAATATAGTGAAAAACATATAGCCTAATGATGACAGCATAAAAAAAGGACGTCTCCTGAGGAATCCTGTTCAAACTGAATCTGACTGAGGCTAAACACTGAGAGACAAGGGGACAGAATGTCCCCAAAGTCTTCAGCATAGACACAGTTTATATTTATTAGAGCAGAGTCAGGCTTTACTGACTGACGATCATCATCGCTGGTGAGTCACATATGTCGTGCAGTTCCTTACTGCAAATACTCTTGTTGGCTTTTGATCGCATTGGCTGCAGTCTGGATAATTATCCAGTTTTAATGTTTTAGTCTGAGGTTTTCTTACATTTACTAATACATCACTTTTTTATTTTTTAAATTTTAAATTTAGCTTTTAAATCTATTTGATACATTTTTGTATTCAATTTGTTTACAATTTTAATTAAAAAAACTTTATTGGTCTTTATTGATTTTTGTTCATTTGAATATTAACAATATGATTAAATATTAATTCATCAATTAGTGTTGGAGCCAAATGAAAAATATATTATTATATATAATATATAATTATAAATATTATTTTTGCTAAAGAAAAATAGATTTTAAACAAAATCCACCTCATATAAATTTGAGATCATGTCCAGATCCTCAGAACATTATTATGACAAATCCTCAGGAGTGTGGGTCAGAGTCAGGTTTGTTTTCAAACCAAAGTCTCTTATTGTAGGAAAGTTAAATAAATTTGTTTTTAACCTTATTTTTGCCAATGTTCTCCGGACAACTTTGATGTGTTTCAATTCACAGTTCAGGCATTTTGTAAAGCACAAGATAGTAAGTATGATGCAAAGTTAAAAATGTACAAAAGAGAGAAAGAAAATAAAATGTTTTACCTCTATCAACTTGACTCAAAGGTTATTTTTAACAACTTTAAAATATTAAGGAAAAATAAGTAAAGTCTAAATTAAAAATGCAATTATTATGTATTACAGACTTTTACCTGTGTTTACCCTTATGATCATTAAAAAACACAGTAGATACATTTTTCTGAGGTTTAGATAGAACTGCAATAAATGTCACTGTGATTGTACAAGTACTGCACAAGTTTTCGCAATCTATGCCTAGGAAGATGAAACAAAAGAAACAATAGACAACAACAAACAGATGAAACAACAGATTCATGTTTTAATTTTAGATTTAGATTTTCTTCAGTGTAATCTATGCCTAGGAAGATGAAACAAAAAGATTCATGTTTAAATTTTAGATTTAGATTTTCCTCAGTGTTTTTTTTTTACCAATTCTGTAAATCTTTTTTTCTCAGATGTCTTGAAAAATTTGTCTGTTTTTTTCTCAGATGTCTTGAAAAATTTGAACCACACATGTCTGTATTGATCTGCAATGTTTTTGCTCTTTTTCCATGTGCATTAGGACAGGACACTGATGATCAGTGTCCTTTCTTTTTGAGCTATTTTGTGAGAACTCGCATTGCAGGAATATTATCGCCACCTGCTGTTTTTCAAAGACACTTCAATTAACTGTAGATAGCTCTTTATTTCCTTTGAATTTCCAATAACATGAAGAAAAATACGATCAGAAATTTGTACTCAAAATATTTGTAGTTTTCACATTGATTTTGGTCAAATGTAGATTTAGTAGTTTAGTGTTTCACGTCCAGGCACTTGTACATGGCTGTGACTTGTACATGACTTTACACTTAAATTTGCAAACCGAAGAAGACAAAAAATAAAATGTAAAATGTGTAAGTGATTAAATGTGGGCAGAATGTATGTGTGAGGGCCTCTTAAGTATTTAAAAACCATGAAATAGTAAATTGTGTTCATATTTCTACATTAATAGGTGTGTTCCACAACGATGTCAAATATGCAGAACCTGACTGAACTTTCCATCACCAACAACACATCCAACAAAAGCCTGTCTGTGATCATCAAGGTGTGCGTGGTCATCCCTTTCTTCTGTGTCTTCCTGTTCTGCATCGCCATCATGCTGCACATCTTTGCCTCCCACAGGCACTACCTGGACACGTCGCGCTACATACTATTTGCCTACATGCTGGTCAATGACGCCCTGCAACTCTTGTCCTCTGTGTTGCTGTTTCTTTTTGTCATGGGCCAGGTGAGATTAGCCATCGTGTACTGCATCCCTCTGCTCTTCATTTCCACAGCCACCTTCCAAAACACACCCTTGATCCTGGCCACGATGGCGCTGGAGCGTTACATTGCCATTTTCTATCCTCTGCGGCCTCCACCAGCCTGGAGATCTGATCGAATCTGGATCATAATTGTTTCCCTTTGGTCCATTAGCTGTTTGTTCCCCATTATTGACTTCTCCATTGGGGAACGTGATCCTTCAATTGACGTCCTATCCACTCCAGTACTTTGCAAAACCATCGTTGTTAACCCCAGCCCCCTCCAAACTCTGTTCAAAGCTGCTGTTAGTGTGCTTTTCTTTGCAGTGGTCGCTGTTGTCATCCTCTTCACATATGTCAGGATCCTATTGGAAACAAGGAAGCTGAGACAGGACAGACTGTCCGTCGGCAAAGCCATGCACACAGTGCTGCTGCATGCCTTTCAGTTGTTGCTGTGCATGTTGGCCTTCACCCACCCCATCACAGAGACACTCATAGTGCTGCACACAAAGTGGCAACCAGAGGACATTGCCTTCTTCAATTATTTTTGCTTCATCCTTATACCACGATTCCTCAGCCCACTCATATACGGCTTTAGAGATCAGTGTCTTAGGGCACACATTGGCACAAAGTTCCTCTGCTGCTCAAGGAAAACAAAACCAATTTTCTAAGGGTTTGCCTGTGAAGTTAAACATTTCTTACACGTCACCTGCTGATGGAGTGTACATTGGTCCTTAGCAATGCACTCACAATTTTCAAATCTAGTCTAATTTAGAAAAATGTATATATTTAATTTTTACTGACCTCTGAGTTCATATGTCACTATTTTATCCCAGACTGTGAGCTGTCAGTAATGATTAAGCTCTGGTTAAAGTTGTTATAACTAAAAATGCTGAGAAGCACAGCAGTCATCTTAAACACCAAAGCAAATTATAAACATATCAATAACATCTAACAAACATGTAGGTTTAGGTAAGCAAAAATGGTTGGTGAACTCTCATAGTACTAGTTAACATCATTCAGGTTTAATTTAGAGTCCTCAAAAATGCAGACAATTACAATTCATTTTTAATATGTTTCATGTAGGACAAACCTGATTTTTGTCTGTGTCCCTAAATAGAAGAGGATATTCTGTTTATTCTGTTAATTTTATGGTCTAATAAACCTTTAGTGGTATGCCTCAATTAAGAACATATTCACTCTACAATCAGTCATTAACTTTTCCTTTTTAATATACCTACATGTCATCAACATACTTCACACCTATCTCTGGTGCAACAACCACCGTCGTAACTAAATATTAGCCTAGACGTTGATACATCAGACGTATTACAGGCCGCAGAAGTATGGGTGTTTTAATCGGAAAATAGAATTTCCCAGCATGCAACGGATACGTATCACTGTATTATTACGATAAAATAAAGATCAGTGTGGATTAAACTAAGCAACTTCTTGTCAATTTACATATGCTGTTACCGCTAGCATTTGGACTTAATTATAATTTTTTTTTAAACCATGACCAAAATGGTTAAAGTATTAGCAATACTATAAATACTGTTGGTTCAGCCTTACGTACTTCCGTGGGAGGAAGCTCATTGTAGAGGTCACGTGCCGAGTACTTGTTACTCCACCAATCACCTTGGGGAAGGTCTGAGACAAGAGCCAATAGTTGCCCTAGCAGGGTAGCGTCTGACAGAGGCGAGCGGCTAACTAGCAACATGGTTGTACGTGAACGGATTGAACAGGAGATGTCGCTGTGGCCAATTAACTGACCATTGCGACGGATGTGACGTTCACCACATTGGAATGTGTCGCGGCTGGCAAATGAGCACGATGTATGAGATGGTGCCTAGCATCACAACCCAATTCAGACTACTCTCCTTCCACTTTTATTTAATTTCTTAACGTTTATATCTAATTTAATTATATTTAATTATATTAAATATAATGTATTTCAAATAAACATTTTTATGAGTGCATTGATGATTTAAGACAATGTCAAGCAGAAGAGCACAGACACAACACAAACACACCTAGAATCTAATCCCAATATCATTATTAACCTCATAAACGTTATGACGGAAGCACGGGCGAATGGTGTTGTGCAAAATAGCCAGTAGATGTCACAATTTCCTTCCAACTAAACTCCCTTGTAACACTTGTGACAGTGATTTGAGTGAGAGAGTCTTTTCGTGAAAGATGATCTCAAATCAGTGGGACATTCCCACGCACACGAGGAGAGTGCTGGAGGAAAAACTGCTCAGAGCAGATCAGCGTTTAAAGCTGCGGCAGCTGCTGCAATAAATAGAGATCTGCGGAATGGCGGATCTGAGATGGAGTCTCCTGACTGTGACCTGTGTGGTTAACATGGCCTCGGCAGAAATGTTCACATCGCTGCTGAACGGTCAGCAGGTAATCAGAGTTGAAGAGAAACTGGTGCACCACCTGAGGACATACATAGACCAGGAGCTTCAGAGACTGGAGGACATCAGACGGTGAGTGACATGAGTGGTGATGGTAATAAGCTCATTTATTAGTTTTTATTTAAATTTCTTTAATGGAATATATTGCAGAATTTTTATTTATTTTTTGGCAGAGGCTATATATTGTAGCCAGTCAGTTGTGGTGCATTTATCAGACCAGAACGAGCAAAATAAAACCCTGGGGTGGTAGGATTTGTATGTGATGCATTAAAAAGAAAAGTCCCATTGAAGGACTTACATTTATGAACTGTTTCATTGTGGCAGGGATAAATCATCAGACAGTATCTTACACAGACAGACTCTTCTGTCAGGCCACTCCTCACTTCTCTGAGTGAAAAAAAACTTTCTTTGTTTTATGAAGTCATTTTTGACTCATACTAGTTACTGCCTCATTGATTTGATGTTTTTGTGATGTGGTGGTGGAAAATGACTCATTCAGTGAAGACACTGGTATTCCCTCCAGCCTCTCTCCTGTACATGCAGATATTAGTCACGGGTTGTCGTGTTAACAAAATAATAATACGTAGAATTAAATGCAATGTTAACAGTTAATAAACAAAGCTGTGTTGGAATTGTATTCATTTATTTATCTCGACCTGTAATGTTTACCAATCCAGAAATGGCTCCCACACTTAAAGATAACATGGATGAGTATTTTGGGACGTCATCCTCACAACATACCAACAGGATCTTTTAGTAATAGGAATGATTCACAAATAACTTACTTGTTACTCACAGTCGTGTGAGATGTTTAAGGGCAGTCAGTGCAAGGCTTTAGTTGGCATCAGCCACTACATTATTTTGCTGTATTACATATTTTTTTATTTTAATGACTTCATCTGTGGCAAACCTCTGGTTCTGTGCCCAGAGATCCAGTGTGCTGCCACAATGCTGTGGATTCCCTTAGATAATATACACTCAATCAAGTGGCAATTTAAAGCCCAGTGTGGAAACTTCAAAAATGCACAATTTGACCAACTGTCATGACTTTGGTCACGCAGCTGGTTCCTATTGTAGTAGATGAGAGGACAATTCCCCCCTGGTGTCCACTGGTGTGCCCAGTCCTGCTCTGGCATCTGGAAACCTCTACTGAGGAACATAACTCACAAAGCTGACAGCACGTCCAAGCTGCGACTAATATCCTAAACTTTTCAGGCTGTTTGCAGATGTGATAAATGAATTTGACTCCAATGCTTTGGAAGTCATCGACTGGCCATACAGCACCATGTCCTGTTCTTTATGAACCAAGTTGGACATTGTTACAAAACAAGAAAAACTATTTTGTAGCCAGCTACAGTATGATGATCAGTGACTTATGGTAAAGACACAAAGATGACAAAGTTAGCTACAAAAAGTCACCAATGTAGTGTGTGCTTTTTTGCCTCTGCTACAGTACTATGGGAATAAGAGTTAAAAATATACAAATTTTACAAATGATTTGGTTCAGTACAAGTATCTAGTGGTCCAACCATACTTTTGGATAGCACATTCGATTACCATCCAATGAACCCTTCTCACATATTAGACACAGGACCTTTAACTTTTATTGGGATCATAAAATCCTTGTAAAACGTGTCCGTCCTCTTCCCCTGTCCTTTCTCTCACAGCTTTTACACCAAAGTGTCCGACCTGCACACTGAACTGTACGAGGACGCGGGCACATCATTGACGAACCCTCTGGTCTCTTTCACTCTGATCAAACGACTGCATTCAGAGTGGCCCAACATCATCTACAGCAACGAAGCCCTGGAAAACACACAGGGTCAGCTCACTGTCCTCGGACAGACACTCACATCTGGTGGTGATAACTTAAACACCTCCTTTTTTTCTTTTTTTTATTACTTCTTCTTCCCAGCTGTCGTCACCCAGCCCCCGTCTCACCTCTTGGCCTTTCTGTTCTACAGCTCTCAGGTCCAGTTACGAGGAGGACAAAGCTGAACTGCCCAAACTAGAAGACCTCCAGGGGGCCGCCAAGGGGCTCATGAGGCTGCAGGATGTGTACGCTCTTCAGGTTGAGAGCCTCGTAAAGGGTCGTTTCCAGACAGTGACCAATGGGAAACTCACAGATATCTACATTCCTGGAGTTTTAGTCCCACTGTCTGGCGATGACTGCTTCCTGGTTGGAAAGGTAGAGAAAATATAACTTTTCTGCTTTCTGCTTTTCTGTTTCTTGCTTTTCTAACAATAGCCGAAAGCTGAGTAAATGTGGCACAGATGCCACAAAAAGCCAGAAGAGAGTTAATTGTAAGCCCAGAATAAAGCTTATCTAAATATATATGGAAAATATACTCATGATTACTATAAAAAATAGTTAAAGTTAAAGCCTGAAGCAGACAATGTGGATTAAAGGAAGAAATGCATCAAAGATGAAAAAAATAATACATTTTTAATTCATACAGTATGTTGCCCTTAAGTGTCAGGTTTTGAATTTTCAGTGTACAGTATGAGCAGCATTGAAACATGTTGTAACAGCATTCCACTGGAATCACCAGTAGGCAGACGATGAACTCACTTTGAATGCAAACGTTTTAGACATTTTTGTCTTCGTCTCAGAGAAACTCGAGCGACAGCACAAGTGAAAACATGATCTGCTCTTTAACCGAAACGACTCTGTAACATCTGTGAGATAATGTATTTTCCTCACACAGGATCCAGCCTGTAAACATCCATGCCAAACATTCAGAGTTGTTTTTTTTATATACAATAGTACATTTGTGTACAGCACACATGAAAAAGATTTAAAGGCAAACGAGGAGTGGGGACATCCAGTGGATGTTTAATACCCAGGCCCCACGGTCAGTTTTATTTGAACTAGATGAGTCAGGTTCTGGGTGAATTTGATGACGTGATACTGCATGTCCTTGAACACCCCAAGTACAAATCTGTTTATAGATCTCTTGAAATGCGTTGTTGTTGTTTTAAGTCATGACCAACATACATTCTGAAGCAACATAGACTTTATTATGAGCCTTTTACAGGTAGTGTGGCCGAGTGGTCTAAGGCGCTGGATTTAGGCTCCAGTCATTTCGATGTCGTGGGTTCGAATCCCACCGCTGCCAGATAAATTATGTTTCACTTTCCTCTTTCTTTAACCCTGCACTATATTGAACGCTTTCCCCTCTGTCACCTGTACTCGATCCGGGACCACGGAAGCTAATATCATTCATCCTATCTCTAACATTTGTTGCAATGATATGAAACAACCTTCAGTCCTTAAATGATCTTTTACCTCCCGTAGGCCACACAAAATAACTGTGGACCTTGAGTTTAACATATGTGCTTTAGGAACACTGGTCACTGAACAAATAAACAGCCGGTAATACAATAGAGAGACTTGGGACCAATTCAAACCAACCAAGTAAGCCAAGCTGCTGTGTTTGCACAGGTGGCCTACGAGCAGGAGGACTACTACCACTCAGTGCAGTGGTTGGAGGAGTCGGTGCACCTCTTCAGAGGGGCAGGAGGAGAGTGGAGGCCTGAGAATGAGGGGACTTTGGAGGATGTTCTGGACCACCTGGCTTTCTCTCATTTTAAAGTAGGACAATCATTGTCAGCACACTAGCAGGACAGTTAGAGAGTGTGTGTTTTAAACTTCTGTGGTTGTCATTTCAGACAGGAAACGTGTCCAACGCTCTAAGTCTCTCCCAGGAGTTACTGCTTTATGGTAAATCTTCCAGATAATTTCAGTCCATTTGTTTTAGGCTAGAAAAACAAATGGACTATAACATAAGCAGAAACAACAACACTGACATTGACATTGCACCTTGAGCAGCTCACGAGTGACAAATGCAAACATGAAGTCCAAACTCCAACAGTTGGTTTGAGTTGATACGTGTTTCCTTTAAACCCTTAGATCCGATGAATGTTAGAGTTCTGCAGAATATTAAGAAATATAAGAAGCTACTGGTGGGTTCATCAAGCCGCTGGAACAAAGTGCCAAAGAGACCGACCTCCAGTCATTTACAAACAAGAGACACATATGAGAGACTCTGTCAGACCCAAGGTTCACAGGTGTGTAACACACGTTTTCTACCATTTTCCAACACGGCACATTTGGAGAATGAAGGTATAGGCAATAAAATAACCACCATTTTAACTTTGTCCAGGACTGTCTACATATATTTTAACGTAGCAGAAGCTAATGAGAATGTAGCATTAAATATTTAGAACTGAAAAACACCCGGAATGAGCTAAAATTCAAACAAAAACTAATTAGAATTCCTAGAAAAAAGATAATTAATAAAACAAAGGCTTGAAATGTATCAAATTTTGTTCATACTTAAGATTTGATTTATTCAAAACCCCAAGCCATGAAATGCTAAAAATGACCAGAATGACCTGGAGAAACTTAACGTAGCAGAGTTAGCTTAGTGTTTTACAAATAGAAAGTGTATGATGTTTATGTAAAAAAAGAAACTAGTAAAAAACTGTAAAATTAAACACACATTTAAACATATAGTAAACATTTTTTTAAATTTAATAAAGGACACAGAATCTTCCAAAGGATATCTAAACAGGGAAAACTAAAATGTTGCCAAAAAGAAATTAAAACTCTCTGAAGGATCTGACAGTGCTCTCCCAACAACAAGAAATGTTCCCACGCTTTGGGGAGCTGAAAAGATTTCATTTGAAGAGAGACATTGTAGGCCACACAAAGTGGGAGACGGAGCATATGTTGAAACAAACTGTGAACGAAAGAAATGTTTTGATGCTGTTAATGGACTTCAGATGCCTGTTTCTCCTAACAGCCAATGCATTTTAAAAACCCCAGACTCTACTGTGACTATTTCACTAACAACAACCCTGGGCTGTTGCTGCTGCCAGCCAGACGTGAGGTGATGAGCCTGCAGCCGTACGTCGTCCTCTTCCATGACTTCATCACTGATTCAGAGGCTCAACACATCAAGACGATTGCCAGGCCTGGAGTAAGTGCCAGGACTGAGGGAAGTTCACAGAATTAGACACGTGTCATGTCCAACAAATGGACACCGTGCATGGTTTCCTAACTCCTTCAGATGGTTTTGTAATACTTTAAAATGTTTCAGTCTCCTCATCAGAGACAAGAAATGTGACCTAGATGAAATCATCTTTTTTGGCAAAAGTTGGAAAGACTTTTAAAGTGTTTGTTGAAATATAATAATAATAATAATTATTATTATTATTATTATTTGTTAGTTAAAATATATCTCAGTAATATCTTCATTCTATAACCTCTGATCACATGGACCTTCAGATGATAATCTTTTTTCTTAAATGACACCAGAACTCTTTGCACCGTTCTGAATTCTGAGCACATTTTCTTCATTTTCTGTGGGTCTTCCAACCATCCTCCTGTGGTGGAGGAAGAAAGGGAAATGAACTGTAGGAGAGCAGTAGGGTCATTGCACCAGCTGGGGTTTAGCTGGGATAAGCTTTGCATACTTGAAGCCTGGCTCACTTTTAGGAATATTTGATGGATGGATAACTTTGCTGCACTACCCTATAGTTTCTGTGAGGTTTTGGCTTTGTTCGCTGTCTTTCCATACCACAAGGAATATCCCGTCCATTTATTTCATCATAATGTCAGCTTGTGGTTTAATTGAAAACAGGCACAGGGAATGGTATTAGTTTGGAACTGCATTTATCAAATATGAGTCTGGTTTACACTTGGTTCTGCACAGCCTCTGATTTCTCCACGTCTGGTTTAGGTCAACAGTTTTGCCCTCGTCAAAACTTTATGAACCACTAACTATGATGATGTTCGTTTGGATTCCATGCAGTACAGAAATTCATTTTAGGCTAAGTTTCACAGCAGAAGACAGCCAGCTTTGGTGGGAGTTTTTGATTTTATTTTGAAATTACAGAGGTGGGATACAAAATGTCCAGGCATCCAGGAGTTTTACAAGTCTCTTGCATATTGACAGCAGCCCCTCCCAGTGCCTGAAAATGTAATAAAATAAACTGGAATCTAGAGTGACCAAGTGAGATTAGGTACAAGCAGGGAGAGAGAGAGAGAGAGAGAGAGAGAGAAAAGAGAGAGAGAGAATAATGGCACAGTGTATCTTTACCTAATAAGGATAAAACAGTGTTGCACAATACATTTGTTTGTACGTTTGTAACAGTTTCCAGTTTTTACAAACTGTCCACAAATATAATCTGAATCTGCTGCTCTGAACAACAGATTTACCTATATGTTGTCCAAGAAATCATAAAAGTTTTCACATTTCTCTCGTGTCACTAATGGTCACATACAGTAATACGCAGTAAGAAAGGTGATATGATGAAATGATCATTTGAAAACCTTCATGCTGGGAGCTGCTCTCACTTGTTATTTTAGATGGGAAGTTGGGACTTACAGCTGTAGAAAAAAAAACAAAAACATCACCAGCTCATGTTGTCTCTTTTTCCTCACCAGCTGAACAGGTCTGTGGTGGCAGCTGGAGAAAAACAAGCAACAGCAGATTATCGCATCAGCAAAAGGTACGAAACCTTTACCTGTTCAGTTTCCCACAGAGGTGGTACAGTATTTACCATTTGATTGAGTCTAGGTCAAATCTTTTACATTTTTTTGGCACCCCCTTGTGGCAGCATGTTGCAGCAGATCTGTTGTTAACACTGTAGATTGTGGGGCAAATAAGTGACTTTTGGAATATAAAAAAAAGATTAGAACTGGAAATATAATACCTTAATGTTATCTAAAATTAGCCATAACCAATATATATGTTTTAACTGAATATTTGAAATGTATGTATGCATCTTATTCATTTAGTGCATGGATAAAAAATACAGCGCACCCTACCATCCAGAGGATGGACCAGCGGATTGCTATGCTCACAGGTTTAAATGTGGACCATCCATATGCCGAGTATCTCCAGGTGGTGAACTATGGGATTGGTGGTCATTATGAACCTCACTTTGACCATGCCACAGTAAGATAATATTTATACTTGTTTTTACAACCCGCCGATTTGCCATTTGCAAAAATTTAATTTTGTTCACTTTAAAAAATTGTATCAGATGTGGTGGAGAAAGATGTGAGGGTGGTACAGGACATGTACAGTATAAAGGGCCAGGATTTTTACTGTGTGTAGTCAAAGTGACTGATGGGTTCAAGGTATCAGCTCTGAGCCTCTTATCTGTTGTTATGTTGATAGAAAGGTAACAGATAAAAACACAACAGAGGCCGACCAGAGCACTGTTTGTTGTGGAGAAAAGCTGTTATTAAGAACAAGAGAAGAACAGGGTAAAATGGAGGCAGCTGATGTGATGTGGCAGCGGCAGACAGGAGCGGCAGAAAGGAAAAGAAAAGAAAAGTTTTGTTTAACATATAACATCCATCCTTTGTCCATTCTCTCACCAGTCTTCTTCTAGTCCCGTGTTCAGTTTGAAGACTGGAAATCGAATGGCCACCTTCATGATTTATGTGAGTAGAGTCTGAGAGCTGGCTCCTGTTGACTGATCTAAAGTTTAAACCCAAAAACAATGAGGTCCATGTTTATGTCAAAGGCAGTGCAAAACCTTGGAAACCGTTAGACACCTGCTCTCACATCAACAGTTTTATACATGTCTTTAAATAACAGACAGAGCAGCCATAACTGTAGAGCCAACTTGGCCAAAGCAACTGTCTTCCATAATGTTAAACAACCTTTTAGAATATTTTGAGCTATTAAGCATTTTTTTCTATTCCTAAATATTTACGTTGTTTGTCTAACTTTGTCTAAAATATCCCTGAAATAATGAGCTACTTTAAAATATCTTTTGGGTAATTTTAAGATGTCTTAGTGATGTCCAGCTGGTGGGTGCTTCATATATGTAATGCACCATTTGTATTGTTTGGGAGTTGAATGGCCAACTACAAGAATGTTCCTTTTCTGTTACAGCTCAGCTCTGTCCAGGCAGGTGGGTCAACTGCCTTCATTTACGCCAACTTCAGTGCTCCTGTGGTTGAAGTAAGTGCACTGAAAATAACTCAAGGAGAACTTTAAATTATATATAGATATGCTACACTTTTTTATTTACATTTAGGGCAATTTTCTTTCTAGAATAAACTTTAGTTTTCTTGCTTTTCTTGTGTCACTTACATTATAACAAAAATATTTTAGGAAAATCAGTTAAATTATGTCATGTGCTTTAATAACACTACTAGAAGCATATTTGTATGTACTTAATTATCACTTTATCACAGATTAATCACTTGACCCCTGCGTGATACAAGTTTATAAAATCATCATCCCTAAAAAAGTTTATTTTACTGAATATTTGTATTCCTACATGACAGAATGCTGCCATCTTCTGGTGGAATCTCCACAGAAATGGTAAAGGAGATGAAGACACTCTGCATGCCGGGTGCCCTGTGCTGATTGGAGACAAATGGGGTATGAGTCAGTAGTTTAAAGACATTGAGTGAAAATGTATAGAGACAGAACCATATAAGACACACTAAGCCCTCCTGTAGGAATATCACACGTTCCTGTTAAGAACTTTCCAGTGACCCAGTAAAGACTAGTGTCTAAGTGTCTAAACGTTTGTCCACATCTGTTGTGCATAATGTGTTAGAGATGACACAGATTACAGCTCAGGCACTGACTCATCACTTGACAAGGAAAACATCTGCTGCAGGTTGGCTCAGGCTACAGTGACTTTGCAACGTGTCCTAGGGAACAATTTAGTTAACAACATAAAGTTTTCTTAGTACATTTGGTGGCAGTAAATCAATTTTTAATTTTCTGATGTTGATGAATAATTTAAATTAATTATGCATTAACAAAGAGGTTGTTTCACAATGCCCCTTAGTTTTTTTGCTTTTCAATGTTTTCTCATGCAAAGACAAGTCCACCTATATAAAGAACTGAAAACAGTTCATGTTCATATAAACATGTTTGGATTTATCTGTTTATTTCAGTGGCGAACAAATGGATTCATGAGCAAGGTCAAGAGTTCCATCATCCCTGCAGCCTTAATCCTGACAAGTGAGAGGGTGTTGAATGCATTTGTTGGGTTCCTTAGAGTAAAATCACATCAAGAGGCAGCTAAAATGTGAACGTACACAGGCAAAGGAAGTGGGAAGGAGGAGCCTGCATCTGTGATTGGAGCCACAGGGCCTGAAGCAAACAGCCTGCTGTCTGCTGCAGAAGACGAACAACGCCCACAGGCGATAATAGGTCCCAGAGCGGAAGAGCTTTTCTTACAGAGAGGACTTGTCTTCGTACACTTAGACGGTTGGAGTTCAATGATCAGGGCTTTTCCCTGTGCTGGCTCGTTTCTACAGTACTGTGGCTGCAACTGTCTGGGGCTAAGACATTTACAGCTGTAAGGTCAGCGCAGCTGAACTGTGATGAAATTTGGAAGTTTGGAACGAGTTTTGAAAGACAACATGTGTATTTGTACAACAGTGCATAACATGTATGTTGTTCCAGTAATTTATTTGAAAGACAACATGTGTATTTGTACATGTAACATGTATGTTGTTCCAGTAATTTCCACATAATTTCATTTTAAGTGGAAGACAATAAATGATGGTGTTTTGGCTGAAAATATATGTAATACTATACCCAAAAATCCAAACTGGACCAGTACTTGAATCTTATTTCTGCTGTTAAACATTATTCTGATTCCCACCTGTCACCATGACTTAAAGGAGGTTTAATTCTCACAGCTTACCTATCTGCCCTTATAACTCCTTCTCTGCACTTCTAAAGGTTGTTTTACTTCCCTGTTTGCCCCTGTCAAGTCAATTTCTGAATAATCAAAAAATATGACTGAATAAATATATTCAGTGGTGTGAGAACCTCCCTTGCTGCAGTGACTTTTGAGCAGCGACGACCAAAAATTACTCAAATTCCCAGAATGCCTTGTTCTACCATGGGCACCGTGGGAGGGTCGAAGGTTTCCTAGGAGATGGATTTGCGCGCTGCCGTTTAAACGACTGTTTACGTTGATGTGAGTGCGCGCGACTGTCAGCTAACTGCTATTCCAATTGTGTTTAAAGGATTATTACTGAAAGACGGATTTAAAAAAAAGTTATGACCAATAATGAAACAAGCGATGGTCTGAGAACTCGCGGAACACTTGCTTGAGGAATGAAGAGCAAGAAACAGAAAGTGCTTCAAAGTGGAAACAGCAAAAGAAAAGGTAAACGGTGCTGCTAGCTCGGCTAGCCGCTTAGTCTGCTAACGCAGTAATGTCGGAAGTAGATATTGTTTACTTTGCATAAGTCTTTGGTGTCTTCGGTCGGTTGGTTTTTGTTATCACACACACTAAACTTTACCATGTTGTAAATCTTGTATTGTAGAACACAAAAAGCTAGGCTAGTGGTAATGTTTAAGTTGTATATCTCAAAGACCCTAACCAAGAGACACCTCTTCTTATTAAGTTTTTAATGTAGTCATTAGAGTTTTTTATGTTAAATTAATATGTATTTACGAAATAGTTATTCTTAAATAGTTTGATAAAATGGCTAGACAAAACATTTAAATTGCACTCAAATGCATGCTGTGTGTTACCATGTTAGAGGAACAGTTCTAGCAATTATTCAGATATGGTTTTGGATGCGTCTACATGTGTTTCACCTAAACTTTAAACCTTCCTGTTTAGGCTAAGTGTAGTTAATTATTTATTTTTTTCCTCATTTTATTTTTTTTTATTTCTGCTTACTTTTAGCTACCCACATTTAACCTAGCTTTTATGCAAAATTTTGCGTTTGTGTTCATTTACATATGTTTGACCCCAATAATTGTTTTGCTTGTTCTGTGACATTTTTCTTTTACAGTCTCGAGTGATGTGTCACCTTCGACCAGCCTCCCGCCTTTGGTTGAGGGTCCACTTAGATGTTTTCTGCGAGTGACAATAAGTCGATTATTATGGACAGTTAACAAACCTCCGTCTGTGACATTTGTCAGGCTTCGCTGGTGGGGAGAGTCTTCCAATGAGACACACTTTTTTCCTAAAGATGGATCTCAGCTTTCTCAAAGAAATGTCAAGACCACAGTGCGATACGCCATTCGCTGTGGGCCTAAACAGTTCACCTCATATCTTACAGGTAATTGAGAGAGTATGACATCACTCCAGAATGTCAGGTACATATGGTACATACGTTATATTGGTTTATGAATGATTCTACAAGGTAAACGTACAAGGAAAAAGCACCATTTAATCCCAAACTGTATCAGTTCCTAGTAGATACATTTGCAATGGTTATTGCAGCTTCAAATCATGTTGGAGAACCACCAGAGATAATTTGTCCCTCTCTGTAATCCCTGACACAGTTGATCATGTTAGAAACAGAGCTCCCTGTGGGCAACACGATTACGTCTGTGACTTATTGTTCTTCTTACTGGAGAGAATCCCTGTCTGGCGGCATCTTTGTGTTTTGTTTTTTGGGGTTCACTGAGCTGTATAACTTGTTGTATTGCATGGTAAATAAGTATCTGCTTATTTTTTCATAACTGAAAAGATTTTCAGATATTATACTTACACAGTCATCAACTCACTTTTTCAAAATACTGCAAACATGCAGAAACCTCCTGCATGGCGTTACAGTAGAGAACGTTTGAGATGGATTGAAACAGATGCAGATGATGAGCTGTGGTTGTGACCCCTGAAAGGAGCTGATGGAAGGAGAAAAAGAGACAGGGATAGTGCGTGTGTATTTGGGTTGAGGCTTTTTGACTGGATGAAATCATGTTATAAAATATATAAGTAAATAGCCAACTACACATAGTTTTATTTCATTTTTAGGAAGTCTACTGAGTTTGTGTTTCATGGGTTGTGCATTCTGTCTAACAAACTCATTTGTTATTATTAACAGATATGAGCTCACTGGTGTTGGATGTGTTGACAAAAGCTGATCATTTGCCAGTAGCACGGGCACAGGTTGCTGGAATCTCTCGTCTGTCCTTGTCACACCCCATTAGTGGATTTTTCACACTTGTATCTCCTACATCAGAAAAGCTAGGAGAGCTCCAAGTAAGTGAAACAAAAATATATTAAGCCTCTCTCAGCTTAATGTGTGAGGTGTACTATGAATATTTTAAAATACTAATGTTTCTTCAGCAACACTTCAAAGTCTTTATTTGGGTAGTGGGGGTTTAACTTGTGGAAGAATATACAAGTATTTAGTGTGTTTGGTCTTCTGTAAAGCATATCTTTTTCTTTTTTGTCCTTCAGGTTTCACTTAATTTGGAGCCCTTAGCTGAAACCTATGACAGCAGCAGTGACTACACGGTCACAACAGAAGGACCAGAGGCTGCCACAGCAACTCTTCCTTTGCAGCCAAGATCACTCTCAGCTAGCAGTGGGAAACGATTAGTGAAGAGTAGCAGCAAAAACCCACCAAGGTTAATAACAGTCATCTATAGTCTCAGTTAAATTCCCAACTAGTACTTTTCATCCCAAGAATATATGTTTAAAATCTGGAATGAAGAATAAAATGTTTGGTTATCTTTGGAAGAAATTACAGACCTGAACCTTCAAGTTGAATTATTTAAAATGTGCTCATTATGATTTTTAATTCAAAGGCCCCAGCAAGACGGTGGAAAAGAAGAGTTGGCTGAGAATCAGATGCCTGTGAACAGCTGTGAGATCAGTGAAAGAGCTGCAAATGCTTTAAGTCAGGACTCTGGTGGAAACAAGACCAATGACATCCTCTCACGTAGGTCTCAGGATTAAAAAACAACAAATCTCCTTCTTTCTTTAAATGTAATTATCTGTAAATATAACCTTTGAAATTCTTTTTTTTTTTTCTTAGTTATTTCCGAGCGGGGAAACAAGTTAAGAGATGCCATGGTGCGTTCAGCTTTGAAATATGACATACACTCTGCATCAGCACCAAACGATGCCCCTCTACTTAGTGGTACCATACATCCACCTTTAAGGTTAGTTTTTGTAAAAGTTCTTGAAAACCTTGAGTGTTTAAAACATAAATAAAATAGATACTTCTGCCTTCTGCCCTCTTCTGTGACAGGACTGTTCCCTCTCCCTCTGGAATGTTTCTTGATTCCCAATCATTTCCTGAACACTCAATTGATGTCCCTGATGTTTTTGATGGTGCTGACGACGTTACCCACAAAGCCATAGATATTCTCTTTGGCAGGTATTTGTCTTTGTAATTTCAAACATGACAGATAATTTAAGTTTTTATTTTTTATTTTCCTGCACTCTTTTTTAAAGGCTAATCACATCACCTCCTCCTCAACTGGACCGGGACAGTGTCTCCCCTGACTGTATATTTGGCCACAGCAGTGTTTGTGGTGATAGTGAAACTGATGATCCTCAGTATGATCAGAGCTTACTAGAAAATTTATTTTACAAGTCTCCAGTAAGTAGTCACCAATGTCTGGCAGTGCAGTACTTTGTTGTGTTTTGGCAAGATTGTCCTTTTAAAACATTGGTCGTCTTCCTTCAGATATCTGATACAAGACCAGAGGTCACAGAGACAAGTGGTAAAAAAACTTTACCCCCACTTAAAAAACAGCCAAAAAGGATGAATGAGGGGTAAGAGCTTTTACTTTGTATTTGTGGTTTATTGAATGGATTGTAAATGTCATGGGTGTCAGGCCAGGTTGAGAAAATGAAATAATCACTAATAAGTAATTGTACTTTTTATACCTCTAAGACGTTGATTTCTATTTTTTGTCCAGTACTGACTTCCAGCATCAGGATCCCCCAGATGCTGTTGCTCTCTGTGGACTAAGTGAAGAGCAGTTGGCGTTGCTGAATTTCATTCGTGTGATCATCGTGACCATTGACACCCTGACTCTTTCTACGACCTCAGCAACAAGAACTAATTTGAGTAAAGGGAAACCTCTTCGACAAATGACTAATCAAAAATGGTATGAACAATAAATGTTTCTTTATAGTACAGTAAACAAACCAATCATATGTCAGTGTTTTATGACCTCTCTCTCTCTTTTCATGAAAGCACTTACTTTGTAGAGTACATGTTACCAAGAACATCCACCTCCAGTCGACATGTTTATGGAAAAAGCAACAATGGAGACGTGGCCAGAGTTGCTTCCAGTAAAGTCACAGGGGGAGGTATGAGCCCTAACGTTAAAGACAACTGTTTGTTTATTTTACTCTAACTAACCTCTTTATAACCACAGCTTTGACTCAGTTTGAGCTTTAAATCCATTTTAATCAAAGGGCATAAAATCCACTTCCCTGTAAAACTAACGGTGATGGTTAAATTATGTATGCTTTCCCCACTTGTAAGCTCATTAGAAATGGAACCAATCCGCTTTGACATTTTCTATAGTATTATACATATTTGGTTTTGCCAATAGTTTGACAATACTGACAGAGTCATGTTTCTAAACTTCAGTTAGCAACAGGATGAGACAAAAGTCGTCTCCTTGTCTCTATGCTGGACTAAAGAACAGCTCATGTTTGTACTTAAAAAAATAATTACTCATATTTTCTGTCTTTGTTTTACAAGAGGTAAACTTCCTTCAGCATTCTGTGTTTCCTGTGGACTTCAGCACAGAATCTGTCATAAAGTGGTGTCAAACAGATTTGGTGTTCAAGATTTTCTCAAGAAAGAGCCACCAAAAAAAAGTAAGTTGAGCAGACTCATTTTTTTATGTTTGTAAAGGTCGGGTAATGACAAATCCAATACTGTTGTATTGCTTGTATCCAGACATGAAAATGTGGAACAATTTGATAATCAAGATTTGGCAAAGTAAATATTCAACATACTGTAAAGCCATTGTATTTTTTCAGCTAGTGACCATGTTTTCTCCTATTTTAGCCTGTTCTCATTGGTAAAGCAGTTCATCCACTGCGTGATCTGCTGCAGGACAAGCAGCTGAGTCAGGCTTTGGTCCTTCCTGTGCAAAGTCTGGAGGCAAACTGTGAAACACTGGCAATTGGACCTCTTAGGGTATGTACTTAGGACAACAGAGCCTTATTATAAGTGTAATATTCAAACCCTCTTCAAACTCATGTGGGAGTCTTGACTAGAATCCTTCATTCAAGAAAATATATAATGATTATGTATTAGAAGGCTAAGTTGTAATAATATATAATGATTATGTATTAGAAGGCTATAGAATGCATAAGTGGAGGAAAAAAGATCAGAGAGAGAGGATGAGCTGTTTGGAGATAAAGTTGTGATTTGTCCAACTCTGTCATCTGTTTAGAAAAAGTCCCTATGTCTTCAGGCTGGATGACTGTGGATCCAGTGTTCCTATATTTTTTTCTCTTTTTTCAGGTATGTCTAGAACTTGCAACAGACAGCAAGGTTTCCACACCTATAAAAGACAAAAGCCAGCTAGCTCACAGATACAAATCTTCTTTACCAACTGCACCGAGTCCTCCAAGGAAAACCGGCTCCAGACCTCATTTTGCTCAAACTAGCAAAGAACATTTTCCTTCTCACCCTGAAAAAGACTCTCAGATAAATGACTGGAGTCTACATCAACCATTGAAAGAATCATTTTTTCATCCAAGTCTTAACACATTTGAGAATAAACCATGTCAGCACGTGGATGACAACCTTGAAGTACTTCTGCACACTCTGCTCATGGTACCAGAGGGAAAGAACTTCACCTGTGGGCCCTTGCAAACTCCAAATGTTTACTTGAACTGTAAACTCTTTTGGTGTGATGAGATGACGAGATCAAATGTCAGCTGGGGTCAGAAAAATCCAACTTTCAACTTTGTTCAGGTATGTCGAAAATCAGGTGCTCAGCTTTAAAACCAGTGTGATGTATTAACTCAGTTGATTCTGTACATCTTTGGTCTTAGGTGACTCCTGTGGCTTTGACCAGTAAGCTCCTGGAAAGGATGAAGAATAACATGATTATAATTGAAGTGTGGCAAAAAACAGGAAGTTCAGAGGATCGACTTCTGGGCCTTGTTAAATTACCTCTGCACCAGTTCTACATGTCTTTTAGGTAAGTTGGGAAAAGGCAAACATAGTTTTGTCTGAGAAGAACTTGTAATCATATTATAATTGTGATGTTACCAACACAACACATTTTCAGTAAAACAGAGATATGGAGAAATTGTGAGGGCAGAATTTTTTTTTTGACTCTGTCAAGAATGTTTTGCTTCACCTCATTTCCTTCCTCTTAAAAAATATATACCACAATATTTCCCCCTTTAGGCAAATGTGTGGCATTTGTAATTGTGTTTCTCTGGCGACCTCTAAAATTCAATTAATGATTATTTAATTGAAGTTTTATTTATGCTCCTTTTTGGTTCCTGCCCTCCAGGGATCCAAAGGTCACTCACCTTCTACTTGAGGCACAGTATCCTGTTTTAGGCGTAGACTGCTACATGCCAGTCATAGATGTGTTCTCCGGAGCTTGTAAAGGAAACCTCAGGGTTATTTTGGCTATGGGAAAGTCAGAGCAGATCGCGGCCCTGCAGTGCATAAAGGATGAGGAATATGGCACTTTGTTTCCTCTTGTGAAACCAGTTCTTCCGTCTGATCATCATCCACGTCCAGAAACCAAGGTCTGTGCTTTTATGAAATACATAAATACTTATGTACAAGCAAATGAAACAAACAAGTCAGTGTCAACTTCTGCTGATGAGTTTTTTTAAACCCTCATGTATTTCTCTCAGGCTGTTGCAGCATTTAATGAACCAATGATGGAGCATGTGTTCGTGATAAGAGTGGAGAAGGTGAAGGGGCTGACACCTCTGCAGTCAACGGTGTGGGGTGAAGCAGACTGCTATGTCCAGTATAGTTTTCCAAGTCATGATGATGAGACAGCCACAGCTGTGGACCAAATGGTCACAGAGAGTAGTAAGTCCGTTTTTACTTCTCAAAACTAAAATCTTTAATTGGTGTTTCATTTAAAACTCTCATCCTCAACAGACGTCAGCCTAAAGCCGTTTCGTACCACCACCACTCTGTGTGTGCCGGACCCAATATTTAGCCACATGGAGACGCACGTTCTTCTGGCTCCTGAAGGGTTTCCTGTGCAGAGGTTGCTGCTCAGCTCTCTTTCAAGTCGAGGTGCCAGCAGTGGAGGAGGTGTCCAGTTTGAAGTGTGGTGCAGGTTTGTGGTTTCACCGAATTGTTAATCCTCCGTCAGCTAAGAAATGCAAATAGGCTCTGATTTTATTTAAGATAAGTTCATTTCTCATTTATTATTTTTTGCAGATATTATTATCCAAATGTCAGAGATCAGCTTGTGGCCAAAGGACTGCTTCCACTGTCCAAGCTCTGTGCAATGATCACCATGCAGAAACACCAACCCAACAACCCTCAAATGTTCTCCCTGCCCCTGATTCCAAGGACAGATAGTCCCACAGGACATCACATCCAGCCCTCAGGTATTTAAACACACAAAGTGCTGACATCAGAAAATGGGAACAAATCCAGTATTTAGCATATTCATTTTGTAACTCCTTTTTTAAGGTCTCCTAGATGTTTGCATTCAGTACAAACACCGGCCCGTCAGGCCTGAAGCACTGACTGGTAGAGGAGCTGCCTCTCGTGTTGTGACGCTTGTGGTCAAAGTTCGAAGAGCATCAGGTCTGCGGGCAGCAGCAAGGTACATGAGTAGCAATGAATGAATGAAAATGAAGAACATTTTGCTGTTCAGACCTTATCATTAGGTGGGAGTAACTAACATACGATCCTTTAGTTTATGTTATATCTTCATAAAATTAAAGCTGGGTCAGATATTACCTTCTTGGTAGGACAGAGAAAATGAACAAATGTTGATATGATGGACCATTTAAAACTCTAAATACTTAAGTACATCCCAGTGAGAAGGACATCCAGTAACATGACTGACTTGGAAATGCAGGCAGAGTTTCTGTCGCTGGGAATTGGTGTTATTCAGAAATGTTCTGATATTAACTAAATATTACCTGATACAGAAATGTTACTGAAATCAACTTTTTAGAAAATCACATCCTGATTTTTTTATGACATTTTGCATTTTCTGTTGCAGTTTTTTATCAAAACAGGATGAAAGGTTTCAGTACTTTGTTGATGCGGGCGTTAACGCATATGCCACAGTCCAGCTCTCCTTTTCTCCTGAAAGAGAGTCGAGGTCGACAAGGATTGTTGCCAAAACATTTTGCCCCGAGTTTGACCACCACACAGAGTTGTCATGTGATTTGCTGGTTCAGATGAGCAGCGGAGAAACCTGCAGCCTGGCCGAGGTGCTGGAGAGGGCTTCTGCTGCCTTTACTCTGTGGAACAGAGACAATCGTAAAGGTTAAAGACAAATATTCAATCACTATGCATCAACATCGCAGACAATTTAGTTCTTTATGCTCTTTTTTTCTCCCATTGACTACAGTAAAGATATGAAACTGAGAAAAAATCTTTAATTCAGTTTTATTAAGTGTATTGAAGTATTTAAAAATGAGGAAAATGTTTTTATGTAAATATTGTGCAAATTGACTAGAACCAAGGAGATTGTAGCCTTTTCTCTTATTTCAATTTAAAATTGGCTTTATTAACAACAACTTCAGGTTCAATCAAAATGTCTGATTGTGTTCTATATTTTGCAGGTGTGATCTTCAACAGTCAGAAAGATGTGATGTTGGGCTCAGTCCAAATACCATTGGCTGATCTAATTAACAAAAGAACAGGTATGTTTTCTAGTATAACATAGTTATGTTTTAGAAGTGGTATAGTTTCTAATAACAGACTTTTTATTCCAGGTATTTCTGGCTGGTTTGGAGTCTATTTACCTAAGGATAAAAGTTCAACTCAGGATTCCCAAATCCTGGTTGGTGGTCTAGAGATTTCTGTCAATTTTGCCCACCACTCAGATCGGGAAAAAGTAATCAAGGCTGCTCAGGGTTTAGGCTGGATGATGCAGAGTGACTGTGAAACTAAGGATGTGGAAGACTCCTTCGAAGAAAACACAAGGACACTCACTCTGACTTTTTCGACGCCCAGAGCTTGGGTTCCACTCCACTGTTTGCTCCTCCCCAACCAGATTGATCTGCAGCGCTCCACCTATTGCTATGTCAGGTACAAGTTTTATGATCAGGAGGCTTTCACCTCGCAAATGGTACACCCCCTTGTTACAGAGGGGGAGGATGGACAGACCACAGTAGATTTTAAAGGAAATAGAACTGCGAGGATGAGGATGACTCAACCTTTGCTGTGGTATCTACGAGAGGAGAGGCTGGAGGTGCAGCTGTGGGTTTCCTTTAATAAGGACAAAACCAGGAGACCCACTGACACCGACCGACTCGTTGGCTCAGCTTTTGTAGATATGTCTTCTCTTGCAAAAATGTCCAACCAGAAGCTGTCACTTAGTGGTAAGTAATAATTTTTTTCGTTTTAATTGAACGCTAAATGTAGCATGTCTTGCCTAAATTCACTCTCTCTACACACTTTTTAATTTTTGCTTTTCCATACCATTGGATGGTGTCCCAAAGTACTGGAACTTATCCGCCTTCACTACCACTATTATAAGTAAAAGCATTTTTTCTGTGATGACAATTGGTTCGTAATTTACAGTGAAACATTTATTAAAATGTAATTTTTAATTAAAAGTCAATACAACCTCACAGTGGGCTGAGGATTACTTCTTAAATTATTCACATGAAATTGAATTCACACAGAATCCAGTTAGAATCCATTATAACATCTTAAATAAACTTAGGTCTCATGAGGTTTGTGCAGCTGAGCAGTTTGGACTCTGATCTGAATTGTTCCCAATTTCCAGGGTTAGTGAAAATAAGGCAAAAAGTGAAAATTAAATTAAATGAAATATTTGAATGGAGTAACAGTTTGTCGTAGCCCCTCAGTGTCATTATTAAATGTCAATATTTCCTATACACGGTTATTTGACATACATTACGTATACGTTTGATTTTTACAGGCGTGTATCCACTGTTCAGAAGCTCTGCTGCAGACCTACAGGGGGCAGCTCTAAGAATTCACATCACCCTGACAGCAAGTGCTGCCCCAGAGGAGGCACCTGATGAATCTGACAGCCAGGTGGAGCTCTTATCAGAGGAGATGGAAACTGCAGCGCTAATCGCATCACCTACGACACCAAAAAAATCAACACAAAGCAGAAAAGAAAATAAATCTCCTCAAATTATGTCAGACATTTTATCCATACCACACACTGAAAGCAGTGTCGAGGATTCCTTTTCTGTCTTTGTCACAGTGGACAGGGCCATGCATCTGAATCTGAAAAGTGAGTTACGTTGAAAATTGTAAAAAAAAAATCTTATTTTTCAAGAAGAAATTGTGCATGCACCTAATTAATTGATATATCCTTTTCTCTTGTAGGCTGTCCTCTAGCAGAGCAGAGTGAGGTGACGCCAAGCTGCTG